TTGTACTTACCAGAAGTCCTACCATTTGTAGAACACCAGGTCATAATCATAAGGATGAAGAGAAACGGAAGTTGCAGCAAATCAAGATGGAGGCTTACCGAATGGAACCGAAGTGGCAACCAAGGCCCGGCCATGTGTGTATCTTGTGTGTAAGGCCGCAATCCTGACCGTAGAGGCAACCTAGATGGCCAAATAGGTCATATGGCTTCCTACCTCCAACTTCAGAGAAGTACTCCTTGCTCAAAGAAGGGACTGAACTCTTTCTCTGCTGGCTTTGGCCTCAAGGCCAGAAGACCAACCTCAAAGTATGTGTTGGGGGGGGGCACCCCAGGGGGAGGGAGGGGTGCAGTAAGGTACCTCAGCCCCTTGAGGAATCCCAGCAGTGCCTTCAGCATGAAACGCCAAATTAACTGTTTAAGTGCTTTGGGGGCACAAGGAGTACTGAGGGGATCCATGCTGCCACAGTCCTGCCCTCCACTGGATGCACCGAAACCTTGGCGGTTATGTGCAGCTATACTGGACTTGCTCCCTAAGTAATCCGTGTGTGTGTGTGTGTGTGTGTGTGTGTGTAATCAAATTCCAGACTTGGCTATGGCCATTCCACTAACCTGTTTCTTACATCTTTTACGGATGCCAGTTACAGAAATGTACCTGTTTTATTCAGAAATCTTCTCCTAAAAAGCCAGAGTGTTATACCAGGTAACACTTTAAAGTTGCAGTTCTGGGACTAAGCTGCGTTGACTATGGTAGCGCTTCCTTCCTTCCCTCCCTCCAAGGAAGTATGCAAGGAATGCACTGGTAGATTTCAATCAGGCCGAATTCATGTTCATACCCCTCTTTATTCAATACACTTCCTGGATGAGCTCTGGCCCATTGTTACCCAGCAGGAAGAATTCTGATGGGGAAAAAATAACATGGACAAATCAACTGAGAAAACGACATCAAGTAGCACTCCTTTTGTAATGGGTTTTTGTTGTTGTGGTGGTTACAGTTTCTGTGTATAACGCATGCTGTGCCAAACCGAAAGCCAATTAACAAATGTTTCATTTGCATCGTGACACATTAAATTCCATTGATGATGGATTCTTAAAGTGCTTCCTTGTAGTTTTCCATAACAAGAAATCCGGAATGGACAAAACAATATCCTAGAGCAAGTTGTGTTCATTGCAGTCCATTTTTAGTGGGTCAAAATGAGTAGTCCTCATACAGTCACAAGGAAACAAATAAGGCATTGTTACCACTCCGAAATGCCCCAAGAGTGCGTAGCAGCAGGCTTAAGATAGTTTTCCAAAGAATTAGTAACTGGAAACACTAGCAGAAAAATTCTTTTGGTTCAGCTGACAGCTGTTTAAAGGCAAGACAAAACTGCAACTGCTCAGCGGCGGCCTTTATTTGGGACGTTTTGGCCGAGCTCTTCCTGACACAGCCAGACGGGACCTTTCACCTGCAAAGCTGAGCTGGATGCCCTCCCAGCGGGCTGAGCAGCCCAACCTACCACATGTGGGAGGCAGAGGCCAGAGCCCGGTGCACACCCTGCAAAACGAAGGACGGGGGCAGGAAGCGACCACAAACACCGATGACTAATTAGCCAACTGACTAGTATGACCACTGGTGTTCCAGGGCATTCCTTCCATGTGCCCCTGGAATGAGGGGGAAGTTGGTTCCCCCAGGACTGGCACCCGAATTTTCCCTCTGCTTGGGATCAATGGGAAAAATCGAAGACAAAAATTGAAAGGGGTGGGGTGGGAGGTATCTGCCACAGGTTGCTTCCCCTGTTGGATGGTTCTGCCAAAGAAAAATAGAGTTACCAAAGCTTGAAACTTGGCATAAAATCTGTTCCATTTATACATTAAATAGAAACATAGAATCTGAGTCAGAAGGAACCTCCTGGGCCATCTAGTCTGACCCCCGGCTCCAGTCGGCTCCGCTCATGACAGGCCTACCATGTGCATGTCCAGCCTGTCTTTGAACATCCTCACCAATGGGGCCTCAACCACCTCCTGTGGAAGCCCATTCCATGCCCGGGGGGTCCTGTCAGGAAGTACTTCTTGGCATCCACCCTAAATCTTGGCTCCCTGAGCTTTGCTCCATTGGAATGTGTCCTGTCCTCCTCAGCAGGGGAGAACAGGTCTCTATCCACCTCCATGTGGCACCTCCTCACATACCTGTGTGTCGCAAAGAGATCCCCTCGGAGTCTCCTCTTCTCCAGGCTGAAGAGACCCAGTTCCCTCAGTCTCGCCTCATATGGCATCCCCTGCAATCCGGTCACCATCCTTGTGGCCCTACACGGCACTGACTCCAACCTGGCTATATCCTTTCTGTAATGTAGAGCCCAGAACTGAACAAAATACTCCAGTTGCAGGCACACCAGAGTAGTATAGAGTGGTAGAAATACCTCTCTCGACCCAGAAGCCACACTTCTGGCAATGCAACCAAGGGTGGCGTTCGCCCTCTTGACCACCGCATCACACTGCTGGCTCATGTTTAGCCTGCAGTCAACCAGCACCCCGAGGTCCCTTTCACAAGTGCTGCTCTCCAGCCACTTGTCCCCTAACCTGTACTTATGGCACCCTTTCCTATGTCCCAAGTGCAAGACCTCAAGATCCACACTGAATGCCATCCTGTTGACCCCTGCCCACTTCCATAGTCTGTCCAGATCCTTCTGGATCTGGAGTACCTGCTCCTCAGTTGTGGCCACTTCCCCCATTTTAGTATTGTCTGTGAATTTGATCAGCAGACTGTTCACCCCTTCTTCCATGTTGTTGTTGAAAAGATTGAACAGGACTGGTCCCAGGGCAGAGCTCTGGGGGACCCCGCTCGTCACTGGCCACCATCCCAATGATTCCCTGCTAATAATTACTCTCTGCTTTCGGTCCATCAGCCATGCCCTAATCCATCAGACAGTGCATTGGTCTATCCCAAAACTCCTCAATTTCTCAACCAGGATGAGAAATTGAGACAATTTGTCAAAGGCCTTGCTGAAATCCACATTAACCACATCCACCACATCCTCTCTGTCTAGACCCCTCGAAACCTTGTTGTAGAATTCCACGAGGTTTGTCTGGCAGGACCTGTTTTTGCGGAAGCCGTGTTGTGTGGTTGTCAGCCTCCCTTCCCTATCTAGCATCACTAGATCTCTCTATTACAAGCCTTTCCATTGTTTTTCCTACAATGGACATAAGGCTAACAGGTCTGAAATTCCCCATGTCCTTTCTACTACACTTTTTGAAAATTGGGACCACTGATGCCACCCTCCAGTCCTCTGGAACTTCACTTGTTCTCCACGAGGTCTCAAAGATGGATGCCAGCGGGCGTGAGACAACCCCTGCCAACTCTCTAAGTACTCTCAGGTGTAACCCGTCAGGGCCTGGCGCCTTTGTAATGTCCAATGCCCTGAGGAGCCCCTCGACTTCAAGGGGGGTGACTCTAATCTGTGCCCCTAGGTCCCCAGCCTCATCTAATCTCCTATGCGGATCTCCCCTGTCCTGCTCTGGGGAGAACACAGAGGCAAGGCAAAATAGTCACTTAGCATCTGTGCCTGCTCCCTCACATCAGTCACTGAATCCCCTTCCTCCTTATTAAGCGGTCCCACTGCCTGTCTCCCCTTCCTCTTGCTATTTACATGCTAATAGCTCTTTTTGTTGCTCTTGATATTCTTGGCAAGTCTCAGCTTGTAATCAGCCTTAGCCTTGTGAAGAATCCTTCTTCAACAGGCCTCCCCCTCCCGGTATATCCTTTTGTCTATTTGCCCCAGTACCCATTTCCTAGGAGGTTCCTCTTTCGTCTAATCCCTCTAACCACCTCCTTTCACATCCATGGCGGCGCTCTCCTCCGCCTCCCCACCTTACTAACTAGAGGCATCGCCAAGGCTTGCGCCTCCAAAACCTCCCTTTTGAGTGCCATCCACCCCTCCTCAACTCGCTTACCATCCAGTAACCTATCCCAGGAGACTTTCCCCAGTCTGGCTTCCAGTTGGCCAAGGTTGGCCCTCTCGAAGTCCCAGCTTCTAGTGCTCGACCTGCTGCACGTCCCCAGTCCCCTGATCTCAAAGCAAAGGATGGAGTGATCGCTCGCACCCAGAGCTCCCCTAATCTGTACTTCACCTATCAGCTCTTCCCTATTGGTCAAGACCAAGTCAAGGATGTTTCCCCCCCTCGTCGCTTCTCGGACCCTCTGAGTAAAAAACTCTCCCTCTACAGCTTCTAGGAAGCGACGTGACCTGGCTGTCACCGCTGTTCTTACGTTGTTAGTTTATTCAGAAAAAGACATGTGCCACACAGCACGCAGACCCTAATTTGTAAAATCAACTAGGCAGATTAATATGAAAAATTAACTCATCTGAAAGGAATGACTTGTGAAATGAAACACTTTACCATGGAAAAAACTGTTAACTGGACAAAGCAAGGGGATGTCATAAAGTGATTAATTATGGTTTGTGACACAGCTAAAGCTTTTTTCTTAACAAACATTCCCCTTTCCCTCAAAAGCAACCCATCTGTCAAATACAGTCCAACACTAATCCTAAAATCCTGGAAGGCATTGCAATGTCATAGTTATGCCTGTGTGGGATTTTTAAATAGGGGAGGGGGATATTTTTACAATCAGAATGAAGCATAAGTCATCAAGAAGTGACTTGATGGAGAAGGAACGTTTTCACCACTGGTGGCTATCTGTACCGATCTTGCGCCAGCAATTTGAATCCAAACAAAATTTTGTCATGCGCTTCACAACTTTTTCTTTCCCCCCAGGAAAAAGTAGCCATGTGTGACAAAGCAGGAGAAGAGAAGAGAAGCTTATTCCCCAGGGGGTTATAGGACAGAGAGAGAATGACAGACAGTTTTTCAATCCACGTAGGGCAAGGCAAGGCAAGACGCCAGTTTCACATGACTGGGATGTGGGAGCCCCTTCTTTTGTCAGGAAAGGCTATTGTGCAGATGCAGAAAGGTTACCTGTGGAAGTCCCGGGTACCAGTAAATTATGACCTGCATTAACGGCAGAGCTGGACAGAAGGATATGCAACTTTATTGGACAAGAATCCCCATACAGTTTCCTGGATTGGTTTCACCAGTTACAGAACAGCTCACAGAGGAATTTGCCATTTAAGTGAAAGAACCAGAGGCACAAAACCTCTGAAGGAACCTGCCACCAGCACAGCCCACTGCGGGGTATGAATCATACTGCAGTCTTTGGCTTTTATTTCTGTAACATCACAGATGAAAGTAACAAAGCCAACCTGGAAATCAAAGACTAGAAATCAATCTTGACCCTGTATAGTAACATTAAGAAGAGCAGAAGCAGCCTCAGCCCCAGAGCGCTTCTGATCCCCCCGTCCCCCACCAGAGGGTCTGCAACATGCTTCGCCTGTTCCATATCCCACTTCCAATCCCCCTGCAGCATATAAATAGACTGAGATGTTGGTGTTCATACAGCTCCAGTCTAGAAACAAGTCCAGACCTCAAGTGGAATGTGAGATTTTCAATAGTTCAAGCACCTATTTCCATTTGGCTAATCACGAAGACCTCTCAGCCCTGCAGGCTGAAGCGATGCAGAGGGAGTCGCAATCCTTAAGGGGCTCCAATGCCCACGCAAAGACGATCGCCTCTCTTTGTGCAATGGACTTGCGAGGAATCACTAGACAGAAACTGGAGTCAGGGTCCTTCTCTGTTCAGGAGTTAGTCTGTGAGAAATCAAAGGAGGACGTGTGCACCCTTAACACACGCCAGCGAAGAACAAACCCGGAGTTTCGGAGTCTCTCCTTGAGAGAGAGGAAGAGGACAGGAGAGAGAGAAAAAGCAGGGAGCCTGCGCAGGACGAGGGCGCTGGTGCTCAGTTCTTCAGGGGCTCGCTACGTTATGTCCTTCTGCCTTGGGGGGCGATGAATATTCCTCACCACACACTTCACCATCCACTCGATCCCCTCATGCACGCCTTTGCTGCAGAAACACACACAAAAAAAGGAAGATGGCCACCGCTCCTTTCCTGCTCAGGCCTTTGGTCCTCAGTAATTCCACCTTCTGGCATCTCCCTGCTTCCCCCACGCCATTGCCTGTATCCGTTTCTCACACATATGCTTTGAGAACATGCGAACATACACATGTGCTTTCCAGGGCAGGCAATGCAAAGTTCTCATCGCAGATGGATTTTTAGAAAAAGCTCTAGTTTCACCGTGCCTTTGCTCCTGACAATGCCAGCTGGTGCCATGGATCAAGATGCCAACCGGCATTCCACCCCCCCACCCCCCGCTGCCCTCTGCATGCTCATACAGATGACCCTGCAATCAAAGCCACTTGGTGTCTGCAGGGTTCACATGATGAAATTGTGGTCGAGAGCGGAATGAGCTGCAGCTGCACAAAACTCTTTGAGAAAATAGCAGCTCTTGGAAAGGCTGGCTTGAAGGAATCAAATGCTCGCACATAAAATTCACACTTGCCACATGAACCTGGGCTGACCCTCCACTCCACTTTGTGAAAGCTCAGTGGGAATAAGTCTTTTGGAACAGTGGCTCTGCACAGCCCTCCCTCCTCCGAGCATCGGCCAGATCATCGGGCCTTCTCCCGCCGCATTTCGGCAGAATGCTGACGGACCGTCTCCCCGTGCTTGCTTACCCAGTGAGAGCAGAGCAGGCCTGAGTCAAGCAGTCCCTCTTCCCGATTTTGTTGATGCAGTCACTAAATGCGGTCTTGATATCAGGGATCGACAGGCAGTTCTGTGGTAAGGAAGGGCAGAGGGGAAGATCAGATTTGCCTGTTCAGAGAACACGACCCCGCTGGGCCGACAGGCCGTGGCCTGGGGCTCGGCGTATGACTCACGTCTTGAGTCTTGAGTGAGCGCATACACCACACAAGAGGAGTGACCAGAAGCCCTCCCCCCCGCTTTGGACAGCGTAACCCAGACAGTGCGGGCACCGGGGCGCATGCCTTGGAAGCTACTCCGCCACTGCTCCACTCCTTCCCAGAAATCTTATCTTCACAGGGACGGGCACATGGAAATTTGTAGGAACTACACACCATATTTGAAGCACATCTCCCCGGCATGTGGTGGGGTTCCACACTACTGGGAATGCGCTATTATTATTATTATTATTATTATTATAACATTTCTATGCCGCCCCTTGCCGAAACCTCGGGGCGGCTTACAACATGATAAAATACATTGAAATACAATAGTACATAATAAATTACCATTAAATATAAAAATACAAAAAATACATTGATTTACAAATACAAAATTAAAATTATCAGTATAAAATAAAAATATAGGACGAGAAAGAGAAGGAAGAAGAAGTTGCCCTGGCCAGATCATATGTTTTAACAATTGAAATGATGTTTAAATAAAAAGGTCTTTACCTGGCGCCGAAAAACCAGTAACGACGGTGCCAGGCGGACCTCTTTGGGGAGTGAATTCCATAGGTTGGGCGCCACCGCAGAGAAAGCCCTCCTCCGGGTACTTACTCTCCTAATTTCTTTCATGGAGGGTTCCCGGAGAAGGGACTCTCCCGCAGATCTCAAAGGGCGGTCGGGCATATACGGACGTAAGCGCTCGTTCAGGTAGCCAGGACCCAAGCCGTTTAGGGCTTTGTAGGTCATAATCAACACCTTGAATTGGGCCCGGGCTTCAATGGGAAGCCAGTGAAGCTGACGGAGGACTGGAGTCATGTGAGCATAACACCCTGTCCCCGTCAGCAACCTGGCAGCTCTATTTTGCACCAATTGAAGTGTTCGGACTGTCTTCAGGGGAAGCCCCACGTAAAGCGCGTTACAGAAGTCTAGGCGGGAAGTCACCAGCGCGTGTGTCACCGTCGCCAGGCAGTCGTACTCCAGGTAGGGGCGCAGCTGATTAATCAGCCGAAGCTGAAGGAAGGCGTTCCTCGCCACCGCTGTCACCTGAGCTTCCAAAGAAAGCTCCGGGTCGAGGAGTACTCCTAAGCTGCGGACCTTGTCCCTAAGAGGGAGTGTTGCACCATTCAGGACCAGGTCAAATCCACCCTCTCCGAAACCAGATCCGCCAACCAACAGGACCTCCGTCTTGTCTGGGTTGAGTTTCAGTTTATTGGCCCTGAACAGTTTATTCAGTTTATTGGCCACATGCTCTTAGCATGCGCAGTGGCACAAAACCCATGGCTCAATGTCTATGGACACTGAAGATGTACTGATAGTCCAGAGAAAGGTTAGTTTGCAGCTCTAACAGTCTTCGCAACACCTCCAAACCCTAGGAGTGGGTCAGTAAGGATTACTCAAGTGGGGCAACAGCCCCCAAGAAATAATAGTTCTCTTTAGATATAATGGTATCTCCCATACATCGCTGTGGTCATTTGCAGTATATAACGTAGGCTGTGTGATCCTCTCAGTTCAAGTCAGTAAAAAGAGAGAAGCTGAGACTCAATTTTTTGCAGGTCACTAATGAGAAGAGAGACTCTCTTCTCTCTTTTATTCCCCTTGCGGAAGTGTAGTTTGTAGCTGGTAAGAATGTAGGGTTTAACATGAGTTTCAATATGGAACTTTTAAATGAAAAGGGATTGCATATATAACAACAAGCAATATCTTACATGCAACTGATCGATTTCCTGAGTGAGACAAGTATCATAAATGTATTTTACTTGAGATAAAATATTTGGTCTGTTGTTCTTGTAAGAAAATAATGTTTTAGATTTTTTTTTCTAAATAAACTTTGAGGCTTGGATCCATAGAATTGCAGCTACAGTTTTTAATAAGGTTCTCAGCCTTCACTACGAGGGAATATTGCCTCAAATATAGAACCACTAACTAAATCAAATAAACCCTTCTCCACCGAAAGCGAACTCATTTACGGCCAAGGCACAGGAGCAGCAGTCACACTAAAAACCACTTTTCAAAAAGAACAAAGAATAAGATGCATATTTATGGAGATTATTTACAAATACCCATACAATGTCATTATTCAAATAACAGCCTGAGATGGCCTAAAGGTTCTTAAATTAAATATGGCGGCCAGGGTGTGTGGCCAGGCACAAAACAGCAGTTCTCCAGGAGCCAAGCTGGAAAGATTAAAAGGGACTTGTGCAAATTTAATAGATTAGCTAAGATGTTTCCAAATATGTCAAATGGATGTTGGAAATGTAAACATACATTGGGTACTTTCTATCATATGTGGTGGACTTGTGATAATGCGAAAAAGTATTGGATTAAAATACATAAATGGCTTGAGGAAATGCTACAAAAATCCCTAGCTTTTAAACCTGAAGTCTTCTTATTAGGCATTATACCTGTTGATATTAGTAAACAAGAAATGTACTTGATTTTACATGTAATTACTGCGGCGAGGATTGCATTTGCTCAACGCTGGAAAAGTAAAGAACCACTCACCAACGAACTGATCCTAAAAAAGATCTTGGACTGTGCAGAAATGGATAGATTGACTTCGTCATTGAGGGAGAAAGAAGATACTGATTTCTATCAAACTCGGGACTCTTTTTATCATTGGCTAGAGAAACGGGACTTCATATAGATTAAAATAAGTTTCTAAGTTATCACAAATGGAAAAAAATGTGGGGGCTGACCCAGCAGGTCCGATGTTTCTGATGATTGATGTTGTTTTTAGTTTTTCTTTGTTGTAGGGTTATTTTGAATAAAACTTTTTTTTTTTTTTTTTTAAGGAACTTGCCCAAATTCCTGGCCACGAGACGGAACTGGGCTCAACACACAGGTGCACTTTTTGAATCCACATCCTTTCTGCTCCAGCGCTCATTCCCCAGAACCTAAGCCACATGCGGCTCATCACGCATGCGTGCAAAGCCATACACACCCAGGGAAAACACCCGGCGCTTCCACCGTGCCTTGCCCAGGTGCTGGAGGGCAGTCGCCTACCATTTTCAGCCAGTGCCCACTGGAGGCCCAAAGGCATTCTACGCAAGAAAGGTGGTGCTTCCCAGTTGAAAACTTGGATTAGTTCTTTAAATTCTGAAAAAACAAAAATCGGCAGGGGCAGGGACCTGGCAAGCACAGAGAGAAGCCCAGAGGCACCAAGAGGCACGGATTTAGAGGCCTGTTTGATCCTTTATAAAGGTTTAGCATTTGGAGGGAAGTGTGGAGGGCGGCAACAGGGGAAGGCCTTCCTGGTGGTGGCCCCCATCTCTGGAAGAAGCTTCCCCCTGCAGCCCACCTGGCATTGAATCTGTCATTGCTTTGGCACCAGATTAAGACAGCCCTCTTTTCTGAAGCTTTTAAAGATTTACTCAGCCACCCAGGGGCATAAAAAGGGAATTACCAGGTGTTTTGCAGTCATTATTTTGTTATTCCTTGCTGTTGTCTGCTTTTATTATCTATGTTGTTTAAGATTTTAAAATATTTTTCTGATTTTATTATATTTCATTGTACTTTTTTCATCGGTTTTCATAGACGGGGTAAATTGTTCAGAGATCTTCGACTGTGGGGCAGTATAGAAATGAAATGAATAAATAATACCAAGGGAAGAAATACCATATAATCAAAGAACTCAAGACTCTTGAATCTAACATCCATTAAATTAGTATTTAATTTGATAACTGTTACATAAATAAATACATTCTGCTATCAGGTGCATTCATCTTCTGGCACAGGGCTCCTAAACTTTTCCATGTAAATCACTATGTCAACAAAGCAGATTAAAACTGGCTCACCACAGGCTAGCGGATGCAACAGCACGTCATAATAAAGGAAGCCAATCTGGTCAAAATTACCTTGCAGAAGAGATGGTACGCTAGACAGTAATGAATAACAGCATATGGATTCTGGGAAATGTCATTTTTAGCAGGAGCCAAAGCCAATGCAATTTTTCTCAGTGGCATGTTGGTTTCTGTTATGCATCGAACTAAGGAGGCAATCCTACACGTTGGTGGTGGTGGTGGGGGGTGGAATCCATGCTGGGAGTTATCATTTTTCCTGTTGCAATAACTCATAGGATTGTACCTTAAGTTCATGGGAGTTCTTATCTGAAACCATTCCAGTGCTAAATCCCAAAGGACCATGTGGAGTGCCTCATGTGGAAATTAAGAATAGGAGTGGGCACTTGAGCTATTAGAAATTATCAACAGAGGGGTTAAGTATCGGTCAAGTTATTCTTAAAACTTTACTCTAGATCAGAAAATGGAAAAATAATCAGCAGCCAGATTTTCATGCATGCTTATTTGAAAAAAAAGTTCTTGTGAAAGATACAGAAATGCACGTATTATATTAGCCTAACGGTAACTAAGGTTTCCATAAATGCGAACTGTTTACTTGGGAGTTCTTTTTGCCTGGGTCAGCCCAATGTTTAAAAAGAAAGTAAAACAACAAATACACAATTAAAAGGAACGTGAGATTGCTTAGTTCAATCCCTCGTGTAGCATCGGTTGCAACCACGACCCCAGCGGAGAGTTCCGAGAGCTGAAGGCTATCCTGGCTGGGCCTGAGCCAGGATCCCTCCAGTGCTACGTTCTGTTCCCAGAGGCCAACCAGCTGCCCCCAGGATGCTCCAAGCAGGATGGGAGTACAACAGCACCCCCTGCCCATCTTCCCCAGCAGCTTGCACACACAAGCACACTGCCTCTGATGCTGGAGGTGGCACAAAGCCATCAGGACCAGGAGTCATGGATAGCCCTCACCCCCAGAAATACTGGTGCCCATCAGGACACCTTGTGGACGTGAATTCCACAACTCAGCTATTCATGGCCATTAAATCTGCTCAGGTGTCTTTCGCGAGGGACTTGTCAAT